ATATAGATATATATATAGATATATATAGAGAGAGATATATATAGATATATAGATATATAGAGAGAGATATATAGATATATAGATATATATATAGATATATAGATATATAGATATATATATAGATATATAGATATATAGATAGAGAGAGAGAGAAATTTCAGCATTCTATGATAAAAGTGATCTAAAGTAGTGTTCTGCAACCTTTTAACACCGGCGGCCAGGTGAAAATAGGAGAAATATTTTGCAGAACAGCATCAGCCTGAAATAAAAACCAATGGTATGTGTGAGGGATGCAGTGTGTGTGAGGGGTGCAGCTTGTGTGTGTAGGGGGGGCGCAAGGTACGTGTGAGGGATGCAGTGTATGCGGGGTGCTGTGTGTGTGAGGGGTGCAGGGTGTGTGAGGGAGTGCACGGTATGTGTGAGGGATGCAGTGTGTGTGTGTGAGGGGTGCTGTTTGTGTGTCCAGTGGTGGTGCATGCACTTCGATCATTTCTTCCTGCGAGCAAAGCACTGTCAGAGCGCTGCCATAGTACCTTTAGTAATGTAGACAGAAAAATATATATTTTATGCTTATTGTCAAAAATTAATGTTTTGATTTTTGAACACTGATATAACACAAAGAAAAAAGTTACCTGCACTCACTCCTTAATCCCTATGCATATTTAAACAAATGGAGGTAATTTAGTTACTCCAATGGCCACTGGAGGGAATGCCCACCTGCCAACATCAAGGCAGATCCCCCTAGATGGGTCCTACACTGACCCTTTACCTTGCTTCCTTGAGCTTCTGGCAAAAATATCTCTAATGAGACAGAAAGCGGTATTTTTTATATACACCCCTATATACTTGTTAACCTTTAATAGGGAACACATGGGATAGGCGGCAACATTGTAACAAAGCTGTGTGATACAAAAAGTGAATAGAAATACAAAAAGAAAAGTCCTGCGCTCACTCCCATCACTCATGGGCGGCAGCAATGACTACAGTACACATCAGCTAATACATATAGTAAAAACCAAAGAAAAAAAGTTACCTGCGCTCTCTCCTTAATCCCTATGTATATTTAAACAAATGGAGGTCATTTAGTTACTCCAATGGCCTCTAGAGGGAATGCCCGTCTGCCAACGTCAAGGCAGACCCCCTAGACAGGTCCTACTCTGACCCTTTACCTTCCTTCTTTGAGCTTCTGGCAAAAATATCTCTAATGACACAGGGGTATTTTTTTTTATATACACCCCTATATACTTGTTAACCCTTAATAGGGAACACATGGGATGGGCAGCCGCATTGTAACATAACTGTATGATACAAAAAGTGAATACAAATACAAAAAGAAAAGTCCTGCGCTCACTCTAACACAGCCAAGATCACAATCCACAGAGAGCAGTACATGCTAGAGAAGCTTTGACCCATGACACTATGATGGTTCATGAGCACAGGCATTCTTTCAATGTTTTGTGCACACTCATGCTCATTTGTGAGTGAACTGAACAATGCACGTGAAATTTCTATTGTACAAGAACTTCTGGCCAACAGTTCCTACTGCCTATATCTTGTTTTCATAATTCGGTAAAGTCTGCAAATAATACTTTTTTAAAAAGAAAACATTTCCTGCAAGTTATGGCCATCTGTGTATATAGCAGACATTTTACATTATGAGAAAGCACAGACTACAATTTATTTTCGCTGCACCATCCAAGAATCTAATTTAATTACATGTAAAGATGACAAAGTCATCTGGTTGTTTTTTGATTTGATCAGAAACGAATCTCCACGTCTAATATAGTTGTTGGACATATGGCCTCACATTTGACATATTTTGTATGCAGAGAAGTTCATGGTCGACTCAATGACTGCAAGGTTCCCAGTTCCTGTGACTGTAAAACAAACCCAATTCATAGCCCCATCGAGCCCTGAGCTTGATAGTTGGTATAACGTGTTGGTGCTGATATGCCGTATTTGTTTTTTACCAAACGTGGCACTGTACATTATGGCCAAACATCTACACTTTGGTCTTGTCTGTCCAAAGGACATTGTTCCTGAAGTCTTGTGGTTTGTTCAGATGCATATTTGCAAACCTAAGCCATGCTGCCATGTTCTTTCTAGAGAGAAGAGGATTTCTCCTGGCAACCCTTCCAAACAAACCATACTTGTTCAGTCTGATTCTATTTGTACTATCATGAACTTTATTTAACGTGCTAACTGAGGCCTATAGAGTTTGAGATGTAACTCTTGGGGTTTTTGCAATTTCTATAAGTATTGCACAATCTGAGTTGAATTTACTGGGACATCCACTCCTTGGAAGATTGGCAACTAACTTGAATGTTTTTCACTATTGAATAATCTTTCTCACGGTAGAATGATGGACTTCAAATTGTTTGCAAATGGCCTTATAACGCTTTCCAGTTTGATGGGCAGCAACAATTTGTTCTCTAAAACTATTCCTGTTGTCTTTCCTCCTTGGCATTGTGTTAAACACCTTAATGCTCAAGACTAGCAAACTGCTAAAACTTTGGCTTTTATAGGTGTTGTGAAAACTGCTGATGATCAATTAATCAAGGGAATTTGATTAGCAGCACCTGCCTGCTACTTAGCTTGTTAATTGCTATGGAAGCAGTAAGTGAACTGACTTCACCATATTGGCTTTATTTATGTTAAATAAATCATGACACAGTGTAATATCTCATGCGTTGTTGTTCATCTGAGGTTGTATTTACCTAATTTTAAAACCTGCTAAGAAACAGATGATTGTTATTATGTCCTGATATGTAAAATCTGAGAATTTAAAGAGGCTGTACTTTCACTATATATATATATATATATATATATATATATATATATATATATAAATCCATGTGTCCCGCACTCACAGTTCCCGGTCTTGTTGTTGCCTTGGTGCAATCCCCGGCTTAAATATGTACGATATCTTGATGGAGAGCACTCAAAGGACTCAAAATGTATTTCAAATAGTGCTTTTTATTTAAACATCAAATCTTTGGATACAGAGTGTCGACGTTTCAGTCCCACTGGACTTTTATCAAGACCCTTTTGTCTTGATAAAAGTCCAGTGGGACTGAAACGTCGACACTCTGTATCCAAAGATTTGATGCTTAAATAAAAAGCACTATTTGAAATACATTTTGAGTCCTTTGAGTGCTCTCCATCAAGATATCGTGTGTGTGTGTATATATATATATATATATATATATATATATATATATATATATATATATATATATATATATATATATACCCCATATGCTGAAGATTCTTATCTTTTTGGCATGTAATTATGGCATGCCCTGTTTAATTTTCCAACAAGGAATTCTGTTAACTTGCTTTACCGGGTCTGTTAACTTGCTTTACCGGGTCATTTTAATACTATATGCACTTTTGAAAACTCCAGGATTAACATAAAATCACCCAGAGCTCTGTAAGAAAAGTGGAGTGCACAACAAAACCAACTAAAATGCAATATGCTCATCACATATCAAATATCTCAAATCTTTGGAACTCTAGGGGTAAAATATATTCTGCAAAAAGAATCAAACATATCATTTGTGTGAATGCTTTCTTTTATTGAACAGATTTGCAATTGAACACCTTTATTACTGTCCATTCAGCCATAGCTATTTCACATCTTATTCCACCCTGAGAAATCTCATTCCAGAATAAGTTTTCTCAAATGCCATAAACTGTAACAACAAAGGCAATCACATACATGTGTAATCTTTCTTGATTTTCTTTTCACAAATGTTTTTGAGTTGTAGAACATGTTTTTTCTAATCCTAGAGATTTGATCAGGCATTGCTAAGTACTGTACAGATTACTTAAGTAACCTGTTTTCAAGCTGTCAAGAATTGTGAGTGGCAGGCCCACTGCTGGTAGGTTCTCAGCATGCAAAGAAAATGACATTGATGGAGAATGATAAACGACTTTGGCACATCTCCACCCAATCTACTTAGCCATGTGCATGACAGAAGTACCTGTGGTTGAGGGCTGGCAAGTCTGACAATACCTTTAAATTGCTAATAAAACAGTGTATTTGGCTCCAGCGGAGATGCAGGTAAAAAATCATTGGCCATTAATGAGTTGCTAATGTGAAAATAATTTTCTTTACTAACTTTGAATTGGTTGAATAAAGACAGATGGAGATAGGCTATAGAATAGTAATGACATTAACAAAGATTGAAAGGTTACCTGTCATGAAATGTAAAAATATCATACTTGATGCTGTCAGAAGCTGACAGGACCCCACTGGTATTTCCCCTACAAATCCTTTAGTTTCCAATCCATAAAGCCAGTTGTCATAGGATTTGTCTTTACTTTGCAGGCAGTGTGTGCTCTGAAAGCAAGTGTTTTATTCTAAGTACACATGCAAGCATGTAATGGGAGGTGAAGGGAATACTGGAGTTTTACTAAGCCAAAAGCTGTCACACTGTGGAAGTAACAGATTGTCAGAGACAGATCACCTTGTCAGACCACATGCCACTCAAAACCAAGCATTGCTTTCTATGCTAAAAGATGTCACTGGTTATAACAGGAGGTGTGAAGTATGCACATAATTAACATATATAAAATGCAACCTTGCAATATGCATTCTGGGGTACATTCACTGATAGTGAGCTGTGGTGGGCATGCAAATAACTTGCGTAATTCAGGCCAAAATAGCTGAGTTGTAAAAAAGAACTCCAGTTCAGTCAAGTTGAAGGTTTTGCCCACTCAGCTATTCTGGTCTGAATTTTGTTCTCAAGATGTGTCAACATATAGTTTAGTGATTGCCCAAATGTGTCTACTGTTGATTATATGACTATTAGAATCTGTGCATTTGTGTATTTACATCTGTATCAATGTGCGTATCTGTGTGTCTGTGTATCTTCATCTGTGTGAGATGGACCATCGGGGGTGATCGCGGTCCACCCCTAGGAGGCAAATCTGACCTTGAGGGAGCGTAGGGCAAAGCCACACAAACAAGCCTACACCGCAGCGTGACTCTCAGCATGGCAGATGCCACGTGTCTCCCCAGTCCTATTGACTCACATCATGGAGTCTGGCACAGGCTGGACGTGATCTTTGCCGACTTCTGGCGTATGCTGGAGGGCAGAGCACAGCCACTTGCCTCACAAAATTCAAGCAGCCAGCTACCCAAGATGCGGCCTCCAAATAGTAGGAAGGCTCCAAAGGCCGTAAATTGCAAAACGGGCCTCATCATGGCGGCAGACCAAACAGCATGCTCCTCCCCAGCACAAGAAGCTGAAGCTTTATATGAGACACAGCCAGGAACATCAAGCACCATGGAGATGCCCAATCCAACAAGTTCACATACCCCACCTTACAGATACTGGGTTCAGAGGACTGTAACACCTTGCTATGCTCCAGATCCTGACTCTGCAAGCAGACCAGCTCTATCTGTCATTACACGGGCCCAGAGTCTCGCCATATCACTCTGTAGTGCCCTTTATCTAATTTAGTTTATGCAACCAATGCCTATGCCACACGTTTTAGCCTGTTAACCTTGTCTTTTTAGCTTGAATAATTAATATAAAATGTGCAGAAACTCTATTGTTATGTTTTCTCACTGCATGTTTATAACGAGATATGTTGCTTAACAATATGAAATGCTGCCATGTACCATAAATGCATAACAAAAATAAAGAATTATAAAAAAAAAAAGTGCCCTAGAGGGGATATGACTAACTTACACATATATGTACAAGACAGTATAAACAGATCTTGTTGATGACTTGTTCATTGACAGGACTGTAAAAATATCAAGAAATCACCTATTAACACTTGATTAAAGGAAATTCCACCAACAACAGGGGAAAGACATGTTTACACTGAGAGCATCTGTCTAGAGTTTATTTGATCATATTCAGCAAATATCTCTGAAAAAGGTCTGGGTGCCTTTTTGGCAATGTACAATTTTTAGGTTTGTAATGGCTAGCATAATTAACAGCTTGTTAATTGTATTACTAAAATGTCTAGCAGAATTCTTTTCTCTGCATAAATGGTAATTGAATCTTTTTTTTTTTTTTTTGTTTACCTTCTGTTGGTCCAAAAGCAGAAACGTGTAAAAGGTTAAACTTAATGGGCACAATTCATATAACTATGTAACAAAAGAGAACAAATGCTGGGCAAAGCTGCTTTTGTTTCCTCGTGATCTATTACAGAGGTTCACAAATCCATCTTTCCAGACAACAAAAGCCAATATTTCAAGGATTTTCCATCTTATTCGAATAAGCATATTTGTAAAACCTAGATCATTGATGATCCTTCAATAGTTTCAGGAGCATGGCCTGGAAACTTTGACTGTAGCAAAATCTATACATTTGCTTGTATATATTTTTATACCTTGTAAAAAATAGTATAACTCCCACCGATAATTAATAATATTGCATTTTATGTTGAATATGGAATGGAATGATAATAGCGTGCCACTTCTCCTATTAATCTTGGGATTACAAGCTCTGTCAGAGAGCAGTGCTGTGAGAGGTGGTCCGTAACCGCCATACAATCCAGATCATTCCCTCTCATGTCGTCCATCATACCTTGTTAGCTTTCTATTCAGCTTTCTTTGACAAGGACACATGTGACAAACCCTGTAGTTTATGTATATGACCACATTACCCCACTTAGCAGAATGTGCGGCAGCCCTGACAGCTGTCTTCTCCACGCTCAATGTGTGCTTCCTTCTTTTTACCAGAATTTACAAAACCCCACCCTGGGGCTGCTGCATGAATTGAGGGCTGTGTTAAGCAGGGGATATGTTAAACTCTTTCCCTCAGGCAAATACTAATCAATACAGTGAAGGAATACATAAGCAGCAGGAAAACACAAAATCTTGTTAGTTGCTACTTTTTACTCTCAGCTTTGAGTAGATCCATGACTTGACATTGAAAAATATATAGAGACAAGCAATTCTAAAAATATAAAAAAAGCAAAAAAGTAAGGGAATTTTCACTTAACAGTAAACTGTGGGGAATTCGGATCTGGCCTACACATTTTAGGCTTAAATAGCTAAGTCTGATTACATTTCCAGTTCAATCAAATTGGAGATTTGTTCCATATTTTTAATTTCCATCTGTTTTGTCTTAAATTTTTCAACTTGTTTCTAAGGATCCACAATGTTGTTGAAAATATCCCTTCATGTTATACCTAGTTAAGCAGTCTTAAAAAAAAAAAAATTGTTAACATTTGCAGTGTGTTTTATGTATGATTAAAACTGAATTTGGAAAAAATAATAAGGATGTATAAATCTTGTATTTACACCATTGCCACATCAAGTAAATCCCCTTATTGTTATTAATTCACCATCGGTATGAGACAAAATGAATACAACTGTTCTTGTTTTCACATTACAATGTTAGCAGACAACTGTGTTCATTGCATATGGCAAACTGTAGGCACAGATGAGTAAATACTGCATTCTGTCGATATAATAAAGCATGCTTGGAATGATTTAGCGGTGTTAGCTTTGAATTGGAGTCAGTCCATGTGAGTGGCTATAAAACTTTGTATTATGAAAAATCATCATCCACAATTATTAAAATTCCAAATGATTTTATTATGTTTACATTTATCACACACGATAAATGTGAAATTTGTGGACTAAGTTACAGACAAACGAAAACAATAATTAATTTATTCTACATTAAATTATATTGTTGTTAACTGTTTACTGGATTATGCAACCAAAACCATAGATTGTTACCTATATTTATAAAACCAATCTTGCTTTTAAGCATGTTATTATCTTTTTTTTACAAAATACAGTCAAGGGAACAGCACACAAACAAAAAAAAAATACAGTTTTGAATTTTATAAGGATACTTAAAATCACTTCTCACAGCAAATAAATATGGGGATTTAGTTACACCATATGGCCATATTGTGTTGAGCTTACCACTCCGTCACAGTACCTCAATATTGGTGGGTCCAAATTAATTTGAACATGTGAGATTTACATGCTAACGTGCAATACTTGCAGCTTAAACTGCTTCCAGAGACTCCACAATTTATGCTTTACCGTTGTCACCTCAAAAGGGGCACCTATAGTGTATGGGTGAGGTGAGCACCCCAACCATCTATTATTATTATTTTATGTGCAAATTCACAGGAGACGTTTGACTATCACTGAATTGTAACTGAACAGCAGCTGACCCTAAATGTTGATTTTATTTTCACTTATTCACAAAAAACACATCAAGTTATTTCAACTGAATTTTCTCTTCCATTCCAGCTGCTGTCCTGCTGTCTGTTGAAATCGGCCAAATCTTCATGTAACATGGCAAATTTGGCTATTCACAAACAGCTGAATTGCTGAATTACAGTCACATTGGCTTAATTCGGTTGTTTCAGTTCGCATTATATAGAGCAACGGAATTTCCCTTACATCACTAAAGTTAAATCCCTTAAATTATAATACAGTTTACATTTCAATTAGACCTTGTAATCATGTACTAAAGGACCAATTCAATGTTAAAAATAAATAGACTTGTGAACAAATCCCTTTCATCTGGGTCGAACGAATCAAAAGCGTGTTCAACTGTGGATGAACAAATTGATTTGTTCATATCTGCCTAATAAATTGATTCACTCGTCCATAGATTCATTCTGTTGAGCTGAGAAGGATTTGAGCACAAGTCTAGAAATAAAATACAGAATAGCACTGAGCTGCTAGATGATCCATATTATCAGGTGCATTAACTACTGAGAAATCGAGACCTACCTTAAATAGCAGCAATGTAAAGAAAAGACTAGAAACCAATCTGGAGAGGAAAGCCTTTCATAAAATCCCAGCCTCACTTAATCATTATTATCTTAATCATACATTTAACCATGCAATTTTCTACGCTCAAAATGAGATATCATCCTTACAGAGTATATTAGTTGAATAAGATAACCAACTCTTTACCCTAAATGACAAACGAGTTCACCCAAAAGAAAAATATAACTCCTTTATCACATATAATCAGTACATATTATATATTCATAAGAACTAAATAAATAACCTACTCTTTAAACATATGTTTTTATTTTCTTAATACTTGTTTTAACCCCTTAAGGACACAACTTCAGGAATAAAAGGGAATTGCTAATAGGGTTCCATTTAGTGTGTATTTGACTTAGTATGGGGAGCAGAGTTAGGTGCCCTCGAAGACACAGGAGGGGAGGGGGAATACTTATTATTTAGTATCACCGTAGACCTAGAACTGACAATAGGTATCATATCAGATTTAGGTTGGATCCTTTGGACCATGGCACTAATCTTATTAATAGTTGAATACACTTCCTTACCCTGTGATTACTCAAATCCCAAGAACTGAGCGTTTATGTAACCCCCAGGATTATGTTTATTAAAGATAGTTCAGCATCTACAATTTAGTATCGGCGTACAGATGTGTAGGCTGATATTATATCATTTCTGGAGGCATACTTACATGCAACAAATCCTTGGCAGGGATTGTGGACAGAATACTATTTCAGATATTAATTATGATGTTACCATCTAGTGTGGATAATCTGAACCTGACCTTAAAATAAGCAATTTGGTTCACGCTAGCTGGTGGTCATAATATTTTCTGTCTATCTAGCACATACCTGCAGAGACACACCACTATCGATGTACAGGAGCACTTTGAGCACTTTGTTTGCTTTCTAATATATTGATATTTTTGTATTTCCAATAAAATGTTTTGCCGGCTCAAAGCGCATGCATATGCTGAGCCAGGGAGAGTGGGAAGGACAAGGAAATGAGGGTTTTTAAAACAAAAACAAAAAAACACTATTTTTTTCAATGGTGGGAGGGAGTGCATAATGGGAGTGAGGGGAGAGCTATCTTCCTCTTGCAGTCACTCTGCCTGCAAGGGAGAAGAACGTTTCAGGCAATCTGGAAGAGAATTCTGGAACTTGCCCCTGGCACAAAGTGTAGATTACTCAAAATGCACAGTGTTTAAAGCTTAAACTTTAGCTGATACTCCTATCATCAGTGCTTTGTGAATCCTCCAAATCATATACTTTGATCACGTCAAATCACTGATGTGGTCATGGTGGTCTGAGAAACCATTTAACTCCACAGAGCTAATTGAAGCAGCAGCAGCCTGCCTTCTCAGACTGTTGTACTACATCTCTTTAAGAAGAATAGGCTTAAAAGTCTGTGCTTAGGAAAGAGAGGAGGGTTTGCAAAGGCTGCAGAAAACAGATCTGCAGCATTTGCAAGTTCTTTTTCCATATATCCCCATGGAAAGCATGCATGCATTTTTTCTCCTTGATTTCTTTGGGGGTTATATATCTACTAAATTGTTTAAAAAAATAATAATAAATAAACAAGTGTTTCTTTAAAAGCTACACTGCATCCACCATGGTTCCTACACCCATGAAATAAAACAGTAAATTTAAGTTTATAAAAAGTTATATTTATAATTTGATCGTTTTGTTTTTTTCCCTTTCTTTCTCTTGCTATGTGAGA